GGACCCAGCCGTCATCGCCGCCACCGGCACCGGAACTATCCCGGCGAACTTCACCTCCCTCAACCTCTCCGTGCGAAGCTCAAGATCCTCTCTCTCGTCCAACACACAAATCCGTACGACCCCGACAAGTTACTACTTCAACGGACAGCACCAACAGTTTCAGTTTCGTCCGAAGAACGAGTTGCCATCTCCGTCGTCTTCTTCTTCCTCTTCTCCGTCTTCGTCTTTGTTGGATGTCCAAATGGGTAACTACCTGTTACAGTCGTCGGCAAGCGGGTCCATTCCGGCGAGCCATACGACTGCGACGGCGCCGTTTTGGAGCAGTTCCGACAGCAACACGACGCAGAATCTATGGGGATTCAATATCAGTCCTTCGGGAGGAAGTGACGGTTACAGCACGAGTGGAGTGCATCTGATGAACTTCGCCCCCGCGCCGTTCGCTTTGTTCGCCGGACAGCCACCGGCTCCGGCAGGGTATTCCGGCGGCGGCGGTGGCGGAGAACAGAACCATTTCGGACTTCTTGCGGCGCTGAACGCTTATAACCGTACGGCGATGCCAGAAACATCGTCGAACCACCACCACCGTAACGGTGACCATCAAGAAGACGCGAGCTCGAACCACCATTCTTAGACAAATACCCATATTATGTGAGCTTAAGTATCTTTATTCTTTCTTTATTTTTCCCTTAACAAGTGTGTATTATGCATTTTTTTTTGTTCGGACCCTTAATTTTTTTTTCTTTGATCGATCTTTACATCGAATTTGAGTCTTTATTATGTCTTTTATTTATCATTTTTTTTTTCTGTCTTGAATCTGCGTCTAATGTCCGGGGGTAAGGAGCGTATACCATATAGTATGTGGGATTTGAAACACGAGTTTTATTTATTCGAGGTTTGTTCACTGTTAGTGCCTGTCTTTTGAGATGTTTTCCTGTGTGGTCTGAGAAAGAGTTCTTGGTTATGTGAAAATCCCGATTAGGGTTTCTTTCTTGCAAAAAAAAATAAAATTAGAGTGTTATATACATAAAATCTCCATAATTATATGTTTTACTAATTAATTTAAGCCATCATTGTTCTTTCGTCTTGCATTTTTTCAGAACAAATGTTCGGACATAGCTTCGGTGCTTGGTGTCTTGTCCGACTTCCCCCCCCCCCCCCACTCAAATGTGTTTCACGTCCTCTTGGTGTACGTATTTTGCGTGCATGCTCCTAATCATCTTCCTTCGATCCATTCTAATAAGACGTACGATCTTATAATATTTTATTTTGTTTCTTTTTGTAAAGAAAAATATTTTTTTAATGTGATTTTCTTAAGCTGGATTAACGTCGATATTTGTGCACGTACTTAGGACTAGATTCCATGATTTTATATCCATGCAAGCCTTAAGTTTTCACCCCTCTCCTGTTTTCACAGTTTCTTCTTCTTCTTCTTTGGATCAATCTCCATTCTTCCGTGCACAATTCAAAAATTTCCAAACGGATCCAAAATAAGTTGTTAAAGCATTTGCTAGTTGTTTTCCTTTAAATTTCGGGTGGACGGTTAATATATATATTAAATATTTTCAATGAAAGAGCTTTCAAATGTAAAATACCGAAACAATCCCAAACTTAGGTAGTTCAACTGGGAAAATGGGGCGCAAAACGTCTGTCTCGCCACGAGTTCGAACCTCAAGTTTGAGGAGAGAGTCGGTAACATCATTTATTTGTTGATTTTACGTTTTTCTGTAACGTTTTCAAGCTATTGATGTAACAGTGGCTTTCGTTGTCGGAGAGTTCACATTTGTGTCGGATAAAAACAGAGGATTTTCGTCCTAGTTACCGAATATTACGTATTTATTCTGTGTTTCTTTTTTTTCCCCGTATAATTGCATTGTTTTTGTCATGAGTTATTGGACTTATTTCCATGTATACATATGCATGAATCGAGGAATATATAATGTCTGCGTATATGTATATAAATTTGAAATATTGATGAGCATGGGCTATATATATATATATTTGTAATGGGCTATATGTAATATATTGATCAAACAATATATATGTACATAGATATACACACACATACACGTGAAAATGTGTATATACTTCTTTTGTAATGCTGAAGACAAACCTTGATCGAACAATTATTTTAAATCCTTGGCAAAACCCGTGATGTCGTGCGTCATACATATTATACGTAACATATATATCTACATAAAACTATGGAAACTTAATTTTTTTTTCTAAGATTTTGAGTTGAAGTCGTTCTCTAAATACATTACACCTTTATTTCCGGCTAAAATGGAAACTATGACGTATGGCAGTATCATAATTAATAATAAAAAATAGTTATCTGATATCGTGAATCTTTTTATTTTATTTTATAATAATCTATAGTTTTCTTTATATATTATTTTATACACAGCCCATGAAAGAAGCGATCACCGATCAATGTTGGTCGGCGGATTTTTTGTTGCATTATTCAAATATTTTATATCAAAAAAGAAATATAAATAATCACGAGGGCACGAGTAGTATCAACCTGGCATTACTCGTTTGGCCTAATTAAATAAGATTTTATGTTAAAAAGTAAAACATAATATATATATATATATATTGGTTTAATAATATATATATATGCTTTATTATGGTGTGTATTCATGTGGGTTGTTTTCTTTTTGTTTTTTTTAATCTGGAAAAGGGTTAACGACCATCATTGTATCACTTGCCTCATTAATTTTTTAAAATTTAGCTTATCCTATATAATCATTTCGCTTCTACAAAAATATATTATTTTTTTTGTAGCTTTGTGAAAATCCCGAAGATAATTTTTTTTTTCCTGAATTTTTAAAATGAAAACTTTGATGTACTTCAGCAAATGCGATGGTTCAGTTGTTTCAATGTATTCAGATCGCTTGATTACGATTTTCTTATTCAAATGAAAATGGTATCTATAATACATACAATTCACAATTTCATATATATATATATATATATATATATATATATATATATATATATTATTTAAAATAATGGTATCTATAATACATACAATACACAATTTCATATATATATATATATATATATATATATATATATATATATATATTATGGTTAAAATATGGGCCTAATTTCCTTTAAATTCCGTACAAGTTTTGTTCGTTTTCAATTGGGCCGGGCTTTGGACAAAAGCTCTTCACTAAGAGCCAATTATGTTATTTTCTTTCTTTATTTGTTCCATAGAGCTTAAAAATTCGATTGCTGACGTGGACTGCATAAAATTCGAAATATGATTCAGATCAAAACGGAAAATTAGTTACACGTTAGTTTTGTTTCCCACGGAGGGAGCCGCCAGTTTCTCTCTCTGTCTCCCTCTTCCCCGAATGGTTGATGAAAGAAAGAGAAAAAAAAAAAAAGGAAGGAGAAGAAAAAAGGAGGAAAAGTCGAACCAGAGGCTCACGTCAAAGAACGTCCCAAATCGCGAATAGCCTCTCAAATCTCGCTCCGTCCTTATTCCCGGCAATCGCCGGTGACGCTTCGCCGGAAACTGTTCGACGCCCGCGATATCTATGCTCTACGTTCTCGGATCGTCTTTGATCAGAGATTGGCCCCGAGATTTTCAGATTCTCGACGTTGCTTGTTGCGTCGGTAAATTCCGTCCCCATTCCCGCCATTTACGGTCTCGACAATCGAAATCCGGTGTTTGAATGCGCACGAGGATTAGGAAATTTTGCAGGATTCCGAAAAAGTTATAGGAAGGATAGGGTTTTGGTTTCTGATCTCGTGAAGAAGTGAAGTAGGCGGTTTTTGAGCTGGTTACGATCGTCGTATGTGGTTAATGTACATCGGATTTCCACGGGAAGGAGTATCTAGATTCTGGATTCTCAGGTTTGAGGAAGCTACTACTGGTATTGGTTAGATAGGGTTAACGATTCAGAACTCGTTTCTTGCCACAACCCAATTTAAACGTGGAGATTGAATGATGTTAGGCAATTTGGTTGAGACTGATTCGAATGGGTATTAGCCCGCAACAGCTTCAATGGCCGATTCTCTGAGAATTAGTCTCGCTGAGAGAGACGTTGAACAGGTACTACATTCATTTACAGAGATAGACCCTTTCAGCTTTGTCCTTATCCCATTGCATCTATTTGAAGGCCATTACCGCACTGAAGAAAGGGTCATACTTGCTGAAGTACGGTCGCAGAGGGAAACCCAAGTTCTGTCCTTTCCACCTCTCTAGTGTAAGCAGCTCCTCCATTTGCCTCCTTGTGCAAGTAGGCTTCCTGTTATCTTTTATTTGTATATTAACGTCGCGAGTTCCCAGGACGAGTCTGGATTAGTTTGGTACTCTGGCAAAGAAGAGAAGCAGGTTAAACTGAGTCAAGTTCTGAGAATTGTTCCTGGACAGCGCACTGTAAGATCCTTTGCCAACTGCGAGCACTTTCAGGACTAACTTCGAATTAGCTTTTGAAATTAAGAGAGGATGGTCATTCATTTTCCTTATTGAACCATAGTAACATGTCCTTTTGTCTTTCCTTCAGACATCTTGCTTCTTTCTGTTTTTTCTCTTCGTCCGTTCTATCTTGGCTTGTTCATATCACCACCACGGACTCAATGGCTTCTGCTTCTTTCAGGCTACATTTAAGAGATATCCACGCCCTGAAAAAGAGTACCAGTCATTTTCACTGATATGCGTTGATAGGTCCTTGGATCTGGTGAGTTCATGGCAATTTCATCACTTTTCATGCTATAATGCAGAATACATGTTCATCTGGATTGGTTGATCACATTTTGAACAGATATGCAAAGACAAAGATGAAGCAGAAGTCTGGTTTGTCGGCCTAAAGGCATTGATTACTCGAGGAAAAACCGGCAAGTGGAGAAACAGTATAAAATCTGAGACTGAGGAAAGTCCTAGAACTGTAGCACGGAGAGTCTCTCCCTTCGTAACTGTTCTTGTAAGTAACGTCAGATTTCATGTGTGAAGAGAAGAAAATCATCCGTCTTTATAGTTTGTATCTTCTTATTGCAGGATCAAGTGATTCAACCCCCTCCTGAGATTCCTTCGCAAAATAGGTTGGGGAAGGTATTTTCTGACATTGTCTCGTTAACAGCGCCCACCAACAACAATCAAACAGAAGCCCCTCCCAACCCCTTCAGTGCATTACCACCATTGAATCTTGAAAATTCAAATTCTCGAACCTCGACTACTGATCCAGTTCGCATCAGTCTATCTAGCGCTGTAAGCACGTCTAGCCACGGTTCATGTCATGAAGACTATGATGATGCCTTGGGCGATATTCTCATCTGGGGTGAAGGTATAAGTGATGGGGTCCTCAGTGGTACAAGAAAGTCGACCAGTTCCACAAAAGAGGATGCCCTTTTACCAAAAACATTAGAATCAACAATAGTTCTTGATGTTCATAGCATTGCATGTGGTAGGAGTCATTCAGCTTTAGTTACCAAACAAGGAGAGATCTTCAGCTGGGGTGATGGAACAGGTGGAAAGCTAGGGCATGGCTTAGAAGAAGATGCCCCCAAACCAAAGCTCATCAGTAGTATGAGGGGGACAAGCGTCGAATTCGTAGCATGTGGAGAGTTCCATACCTGTGCTGTTACTCTTTCTGGTGAACTTTACACATGGGGTGATGGCACTCGAAATGCTGATATGCTTGGGCATGGGAGTGAAGCCAGCTATTGGATTCCCAAGAGAGTGAGTGGTATCTTAGAAGGAATGCATGTATCATATGTTGCTTGTGGCCCCTGGCATACAGCAGTGGTGACATCATCAGGCCAATTGTTCACATTCGGAGATGGATCTTTCGGAGCACTTGGTCATGGAGACCGTAGTAGCACTAGTTTTCCACGTGAAGTTGAAAGCCTGAGCGGATTAAGGGCGATAAGGATTGCCTGTGGCGTTTGGCATACAGCTGCTGTGGTAGAAATGATAACTGAAGCCTCTGATTCAGAACCCAGCTCTTCAATTGGGCAGTTGTTCACATGGGGGGGTGGAGACAAAGGCCAACTTGGACACGTTGACAATGATGCAAAACTCCTGCCCAAGTCTGTAAATGCACTGGCAAATGAAAATCTCTGCCAAGTTGCCTGTGGCCATTCAATCACAGTTGCTCTTACAACCACAGGGTCTGTGTATACAATGGGTAGCACAGTTTACGGGCAGCTGGGAAATCCTAATTCACACGGGAAGGTTCCTGCACGTGTCGAAGGAGACATAGCGGAATCTCTTGTTGAGGAGATTGCCTGTGGTTCTTATCACGTTGCAGTTTTGACATCTAAATCAGAGGTTTACACGTGGGGGAAGGGATCAAATGGACAGTTGGGCCATGGAAATATCGAGAACAAAAAGGAACCTGCGGCCGTGGGGTTTCTCAAGGATAAACACGTGAAGGCTATAACATGCGGATCTAACTTTACTGCTGTTATCTGCATTCACAAATGGGTGCCTGGCTCTGAACATTCTGTCTGTGCAGGTTGCCGTAATCCCTTTAACTTCAGAAGAAAACGCCACAACTGTTACAACTGTGGTCTGTTTTTTTGTAAAGTATGCAGCAGTAGGAAGTCTCTGAGAGCAGCCCTTGCACCCGATATGAACAAGCCATATCGAGTGTGTCATGGATGTTTTACTAAGCTGAAAAAGACAATGGATCCACCTCCTTCTGTGCCACCGACCAAATCTAGAAATGGGTATAAGCTGAAGCAAGCAGATCTTTCAGACAGAGAGGTCACAGGTCCAAAACTTCTCAGACAACACTCCAGAATCTCATCCGTAGACTCGGTTGTGCAAGGTGAAGGAAGGCAAATCAGACGAGATCTAAAAACAGAAGCAAACGATCGTATTCTATTCCCTCCTCTGACCGGCAGTGTACCGTTGTCAAGACTTTCGACGAATTTATTGGATAATATTCCTGCTTCCAGAGCAAGCTCCCACACAGCTTCTCCGGTCTCTGTAAAATCAAGTCCAAGGCGGTCTTCTGAAGTAACATCTGAGGAATCTAAGCACACAAAAGACAATGTTAATCAAGAAATAGTCACTCTAAGAGAACAGGTATTCCTTTCTAACCGTCATCATTTTTTATTCTGTGATTAAGTTAACGGCAATGTTGCTGTACTAAAAAAAAGAGTTTGATCCAACTGAAACTTCAAAGGTGGAGCAACTTACATCTAGAACCCATCACCTTGAAGAAGAACTTGAGAAAACGAGAAAGCAGTTGAAAGTGGTCACCGCAATGGCAGCAGACGAAGCAGAAGAATGCAGATCGGCAAAGGACGTTATTAGATCTCTGACCGCTCAGGTCCGACATTTTTTTTCCGGCTTTTAGCATTTCACTCTCCTTTCATCCTTCTTCTTCTCCCCTCCCATTGACAATTGTTTGATCTCTCCGTCTATGTCATCACATCTACATTTTAAAAAAAAGCTCTCAAGTTCATTGTCTCAATGATTTTGCAGTTGAAGGAGATGGCAGAAAAAATACCACCGAAGGATGTATCTAGCACCAACTCAAAGCGTAAAGTCAAAGACTTATCAGACACTCAAATTCAAACGAGCAACCAGACCCACATAAGAAGCATGGTGGCTCATGATAACGAACCGAACTGCAAAAGCTCGACTAATGGAGGCAAGAGACAGAGTGAAAAGGCAGAGAGGGTGGTGCATGATGAACCGGGAGTGTACTTAACATTGATTCCTTTACCAACCGGTGGTAATGAACTGAAACGTGTCCGCTTCAGGTATCAGTAACAGCTTGTCCCCTCTAGATGCTTAGTAGCAGCAGAAATGGCAACATCTTGTCAAATTAAAATTCATGTAACAACACAAATCAACATAATGTAATACATATATATGTACCTCTCATGAATAATTGGAACCTTGTGGTTTCCTTTTGCAGCCGGAAACAATTTACGGAAGAACAAGCCGAGAAGTGGTGGGGTGAAAATGGAGCTAAAGTATGCGAGCGTCACAACATCATAATCTCGTAGGATTCTTTTCGCCTTTTTCACTTTCTTGCATATCTACCGAGGGGCGACTTTAGATTTTTCTTTCTTCACCAAGAGATTCTGTAACAGGTAGACAGAGAGAGTAAGAGAAGATAGCAACAGACAGCATTAAATAGAGAAACACCTCTTTTGTTAAATCCATTAAGACTGCTTAATCATAGTTACAGTTTCATTTTTTCTTTTGGTTCTTCTTTTATCTGCACATGTTAGCACAAAACTATGATTCTTCAAAAAGAAATTTTATAAAGTTGGGTTTTGTAGCTGCCTGCGAGCAGAACTAACAAGGCCATTAGCCTTATCCTTTCACACTCAACACAAAATCTATAGAATTTCATATCACTCACTATTCCATTTCTACATTGCTGTATCCAGCTTCTTTTTTCTCGGTATAAACCTCATAACTTAACGGTTTTTGCTGTTCTTGAAAATTTCCAGCAACAGCGTGAGCTCCGGACAGAAGTAGATCATCAGTCGGGTGTCTCTCACCCATTTCCACCAATGCCATTTTCACACGTTCGCCCACTACTAGATTCCCGTAAACCCTACAAGCAGCTAACAAAGAACGCCAAGCTATTGAATCGGTTCTGATGGGCAAACCCCTTATAAGATCGTATGCTTCCCCTAATATCCCTCCTCGGCCCAAAAGATCGACCATACACCCGTAATGCTCGACACTTGGTATGATCCCGTACTCATCAACCATCCTCTTGAAGCATTCGATCCCTTCCTTTACCAATCCTCCATGGCTACAAGCATTTAAGACCACCAGAAAGGTAATCTTATTCGGTTTCACTCTACATATCTCCTCCATCTTATGAAATAGAGTTATAGCTTCTCTTGCTAGTCCATGAGCTCCGTAACCTGAGATCATAGCAGTCCATGTCTTCACATCCTTATTCTCCATTCTGTCAAAAATGTCTACAGCTCTGTCAAGAAACCCGATCTTGGCATATGTATCAATGAGCGCGGTTCCAAGAACGGCATCCAGAGCTAATCCTTCCTCTTCCACGAAATCTCCAACAATCCGAGCCATATATGGGGCTTCATAAACCGCACAACATGACAATAGACCAGCACATGTAGATGAATTGGGTTTCACTTGTTCATGCTTCATCTGCCTCAGTAGACATAAACACTCTTCAAGGAGACCCATTTTGGCATATTTGTCAATCATACAGTTCCATGCCACAACGTCCTTTTCAACAGCTGAATCGAAAATCCTGCGTGCCAATCCGATATTCCCAGTTTTAGCGTACATACCAATCAATGCAGTGATCAGATTCAAGCCGGAATCAAGACCTGTCTTGATACACAATCCGTAGACAGATTCTCCTCCGGACAAATCTCCTACATCACCCGTAGCGGAAAGAACACTCAACAATGTACCGACATTAACAGCCACCTCACTCTCACGCATATTCCTAACCAAGTCGAGGACCAATTCAGGCTTAGAAACCTGAAGATATCCATTCATCAAGGTATTATATGAAACAACATCATTCTTATGCGGCATTTCGTCGAACAGCTTCCGGGCATCGTTGGATCTTCCACAGATGCCATAGAAATGCAATAGAGCGTTCTTCAAATCAGTGAATGACATGAACCCAGACCTCAAAACAACCCCGTGAATTCCTTGTCCCATTGCAATGGCCGATTCGCGAGCACACGATTTCAGAGTTGGGATAAAAGAGAACTGGTCCAAGGTGAAGCCTTTTTCTCTCAAACGGTTGAAGAGGCGAAAAGCTTGCTCCGGCTCGTCGCTGATCGAGTAGCCTCTGAGCATGGTGTTGAACATGTAGAGGTTAGGGTCAGAGACATGTCCGAAAATCGATGAAGCATAGCGAATGTCTTGGATGGAGAAAGCAAGAAGCTTGCTAATGGCGAAAGAGTCCTGGTCAAGTCCCGCTTTCACCATGTACCCATGAATTTGAGAAACTTCGACGACGTTCCTGCATGATTTGAGGTCGTCGATCAGTTTTTCGCATCGAAGAGACAAGGCAACATGGGTCGGATCGAAGCTTCCGTGTCGGAACAAGAGATTGCGGCTGAGGCGTGACGTGTTGGCTAACGTCATCGGCCGGAAGTCAAACGCCACCACAACAGACGTGAGGAACCGCAGTCTTGACTCGCGTTCGAGACGAGCGACCCATTAAAAAGACGGTTCAAACACGTTCCAAAGAAAAATTCGATTCTAATACTAAACATATAAAAGTTAGGGGTGATCATTTGGGAATTTATATATTTCGATTTAAAAAAAATATAATTTCAGACAAATTAGGTTATTTTGATTTTAAATATTATAATCGTTGAAAACGGTTTTTATTATTAAAAATATTCATTTTTTCAAACAAATTTTCGATATTTTCAATTTTAATTTGGATTAGGTTCAATTATGATTATATTTATTACCAAGTTTGCCTCGATAGAAAGGAAATAATATAATTACAAATTATTGTAATATAATTAATAAATGATGCTTATAATATATATGCATAGTCTATTTTGGATTAGTTAGGCCACAAATTAGAATGATGACGTCATGGAAGACGTCAAACAAACGGTCCAAGTCTTTGTTTGGGGCCTAAAATATCCGATGGGCCCTATTTTTGTCAAAGTCCAAAATCACGTGACGTGATGAAACTAGGGTTTTGTCATCATATATATATTAACGCCGTAGATCCCCATTTCTTATTTTCTAGGGTTTCTGCATCGGAGCAGCGGGTCGAATTGATCGCCATGGGGAGAAGTGAGTTCATCACTAGTTCTAATTCTTGTCCGATTTACCATTTGTATATGTATTCATCGATTTGATTTCCTGTCCGCTGGATATATCCCGTCCGTTCATATATTTTCTTAGGTATTTTGTCGTTGATGTTGTATAGATTTGATTTCATAGGATTGAAATCTTTTGTGTTGTCTGTTCGTGGACTGTCTTATGTTTAGGTACATTCGCTGAAAGTATGAGGTCTTAGTGTATTCACACGAATTGGTTAACCTAGATTGGGATTTTTTATTAGCTATTGGGAATTTACGGATCTAATGTTTACATGATGTTTCTGCAAAAATTTGCTTTAGCTTGTCAAACTATAAGCTAAAGTTCATTAGCTATTGGGAATTTACTGATTTTTTATTAGCTATTGGGAATCATGTTTGCTTATGTTGGAACCATATGTATATGTATATATGTTTGTAGGACCGGCAAGGTGTTATCGTCAGATCAAGGGGAAACCATACCCTAAATCCAGGTACTGCCGTGGTGTTCCCGACGCGAAAATCAGGATCTATGATGTTGGGATGAAGAGGAAAGGTGTCGATGAATTCCCCTTCTGTGTTCATTTGGTATCATGGGAAAAGGAAAATGTTTCAAGCGAAGCCCTTGAGGCTGCCCGTATCGCCTGCAACAAGTACATGGTTAAATCTGCCGGAAAGGATGCATTCCATCTCCGAGTTAGGGTTCACCCATTCCATGTCCTTCGTATCAACAAAATGCTTTCGTGTGCCGGAGCTGATAGGCTCCAGACCGGAATGAGAGGTGCCTTTGGTAAGCCTCAGGGTACGTGTGCTAGAGTCGCCATTGGACAGGTCCTCCTCTCGGTTAGGTGCAAGGACAATCACGGGCACCATGCCCAGGAGGCCCTTCGCCGTGCTAAGTTCAAGTTTCCAGGCCGTCAAAAGATCATCGTCAGCAGGA